GGTCATGTGACTGAGTGTGCATGAGTGATGTCAAGTTGTCCATACCTGCCCGGTCACATGACTGCCAAGCCACACCCACCAAAGAGGCCACATCCACAGAATAGGTTCTAAAAAAATTTGAAACCCACCACTGGTAGTGTGGGTTCCTCTTAGGTGCAATTTTTTGTATGGGAAGTTTTCAGCATTCACTACTTAGTCAGGATGAGAATTTCGCACCTGTCCCAACTAGTATTTGTCTTTATGCAAGCAGTAGGTCACACTGACTTATCAGCTTTAAATAAGCCATGGGGATGACAATATAAATCTCTGTGGGGGTGGGAGATCAGTTAAAATGTCTATCTCAATTTCTTAATAGAACTGAATGGATTCCATAATGCACTTAAAAATTCTGTTGCCTTACTTTTGGTAAGATTTCTGAAATCGTATTCAAATTATGCAACACAGAAACTACCTAGATAAGTGATGGCAAATCTTTTTCTCCTCACGTGCCAAAATCGGCAACAGCACGTATGCACCCCGCCACCCTGCACATGCTCGCATAAACCACCCATGCTTCTCCCACTCCTCGTGCTTCTCCTCCCCCTCACATATGCATGTGAACCCCTCGCGGTCCCCATACACCTGCGCGCAACCCCCCGCTTCCCTTTTTGGGCCTAGCAGGCCTCCCTGAAGCTTCCTGGGACCAAAAATGGGTCATGGGGGAACCACCTATTTTGCACCTAGCAGGACCAAAAAAGGGGGGCTGCCACGCCCCCACATGCTCCTCCCACGAATGTGCGCACAACCTCCCACCTCCCCTCATGCATGCACACGTTTCCCACATGTGCGGCAGAGACCCGAAAATCACCTGGCTGGCGGGACATGTGCATGCATGGTGGAGCTGAACTGGGCAACAGCTCGTGTGCCCACTGAGAAGGCTCTGGTGCCACCTGTGGCACACATGCCATAGGTTCACCATCACAGACCTGGATGGTAAACCATTACTCCTAAATGCCCTCTTTGGCACTCACAGAATCAAATCAGCATCTTGATT